TGCATATTTTACCATGTTAATTTTAAATCTCACGCAACGCGTGGCCAGTCACTAGTATTATTATAAAATATATACGATTGTTGTACGATTCTTTGCTATGCTGCAAAGCCAAAGATTTCATAAAATTGGTCTTTGAAATTGAGTTCTGAAGAAATCAGTATGCTCCAAGAACCGGAAGATGCATCTTGGTCTCATTACTACACTGATGTTGTAGAATATGGGGGAAAAGTAGCTCTTTTACACCACTCGGATCTTGAGGACGAAGGTGTGATGGATTTATGGGTTATGGAAGATGCAGACAAGAATAAGTGGTCAAGGAAGACTCTGGTGTTGGATTCTTGTCAGATGAATGTGGTGAATTTGCATATAGTCAATGACATGAGTTTGAAGGTACAAGGTACAACTAGAGACGGACAAGTTAACTTGGTACCTCAAAATACATTACGTACCCGAAAAGGAGAGATTATCGTTGAACCTCAAAGGACCACTCTTTTCTACATTTTTCTTTACGATCTACAAAAGAACCATTTGAGAAAAGTTGAAATCAAAGAAACATCAAACCGCTATCTCACCAAAATTTGGGACGTCATTGGATTAGATGATACTGACAACTTAATGTATCTCTGATAACTTGTGTGTATTTTGTTTCTTGTTTTTTGTCTGGAGACTTTTTATTTCATTTCGTTTGGTCGTTTTTGTTCCTTGTTATGTCCTTCTGTTTAATCTCTATTCATTCTGAACAAAATCAATATGCGGGAACAATTTCTCTTGGGGAATTTTTGCCGTTTTATTGAGAGCTATGTAGGAAATTGTGAAAAGAAAAAAAAAAATCCTTTACGAATAATTGTATACTTATGTGTTACGATAAATTAATACGCCGATAGACCTATATAGTAGCTTAACAACCTCATATGTGTTATCAATCATGGGTTTAATACAAGAGAACATATAATACCTTACAAAAAGCTTTTCTATATTTCACAATTCAATATGTATCTCCAAAACACTACATTGACAAATCAATTACTCCTATTCTAATCAAAACTTTCTCAGGCAATGACAAAACGATCGTCCTTGACCACGTTCAAGGCTCTCAATAAAACGGCGAAAATTCTCCAAGAGAAGTTGTTCCCGCAAGTACAAGTGCCAAAAGTAATAGTTATTGGAACCAACATCACAAGTACAATGAGCTGGTTTCGCAGGCCAGTCTCTTTATAGACCATAACAAGGTAAAAACACAAAGAGAGATCATTTACCTCTCTCCCGAGTTATTTGTG